TGGGGGGGGGAGGGGGTGTAGCCCCAATGCAGGGGTTAAGCATTCATTTTTTTGGAGTTCTTCCTTAACCAACAGCCAAAAAGAAGGACCAGCTTATTACCACTAAACACAACATATTGCTAAGCATTTTTTAAGTAGCAATCCTAACTGCTGTTTATAGGGAACACATTTTACTATAGTGGCACTTGTGTTGCAGGAAGGCTACCTACACCTGCTATGACAGGTTAAGAAAAGGGGTCAAAAGTGACAAAAGAGCATGCAGGACCTGGCAGTACCTTGGTTTCAACACTTTTTAAATGTCATTATTATAGTGGGTGGTGGAAGTACTCTTTAATGAAGTGGTGGTCAACATATACAGCACTGCACAGTTTCCATAAACGAGAGCAGTTATATTTTACCTGCACAATGTCATCTGTTTCTTCTTTAACAGGTTTTGATTTTAAGGTTTCTAATTCTTTGTCCAGCTCTGCAAATTAGATCAAGTACAATACAGCGAGTGAAAAAACACTATCATTGATATATTTAGTACATTAGTGATACAATAAAATAAACAATACGCATTTAGTTTATACTTAAAGGAGAACTATAAGGTGAGTGATTTTCACTCATCCTCATAGTTCTAGCTGACCTGTGACAATGAAACTGTCACAAGTCGGCTCAATAGATTGGGAAGTGAGCGAACACATACCGTCGCTCGCTCACTTCTTGATCCTGTGCCTGCAGAGAGCCGTGACTGTCACTCACGGCTCCCCACAGGGATTCCCCCCTCCCCTGTCCAATCCTCCAGCGCTGACTGGCAGGAACGGACGGGGGAGGGAACAGCTGGCTCTGCCTCTTGATAGGCAGAGCCAGATGTCACTCACACAGCTGGGTGGATCCAGACAGTAATGTCGGGATCTGGCCCGGCTGCGGTTTCTCAGTATACCGCAAGCTGTAGCTTGCAGTATACTGAGCTTAGGGTGATGGGAGGATGCTAGTTTGTGTCCTACCATTACCCTTAGGAGAACTATGGGGAAAAGCCCTGACACCATAGTTCTCCTTTAAATAATGTCACAGTCTGTTTAATGGCTGGATATTAAAGGGAGCCCTAGAAAAAACACAGACACGGGCAAAATCCCAACCAACCTGCAACACGTGAAAGTACATTTCAATTAGGGACCTTCACCAAGCATCTAAGCACATGATACTTGCATACCAGCAAGACAAAATTTGAACTTTTTCTCTTTTTTTAAAGGCTGCCTGCTACAAAACACCTTCACAAAGTGGCATATGTCAACACAAATTTAGTGGCACCTGGAAAATGCCACTAGCTTTCCATATGTTATGAATGTGAACATGAGAATTGTGCATTGCTTCACAGGTCTATGATTATAAACTCTCAGCTTGCTATTATCTCACAGGGATGTGGAATTCCTATCGCCCGACACCCGGGACATGCAGTTTGGGGCGGGTAGTTTTTTTTCTTTCTACATTTAGCCCTGCTTCGGCCAGGCAGCAGGGCTAAATGTAGAGGAGGAGCAGTTGTGTACAAGTGATCTTGAGCGGCTGTACAACCGCTCAAGATCACTTGTAAGCAGCCCGAATGTCACTCTCCCTCCCCAAACACCGCTTCTCTTCCCACCCGCCGTCTCGGTCACCACCCACTGCCTGTCAACACCTGCCAGCTCCCTCCCCACCGTAGTCTTAGGGGTACCCCGCTCTTCTGGGGGACCCAGGGTCATGGCAAATTAGATCAGGTTGGAGAGCAGGGAGCAGAGCGGAAAACGTCCTTCTCTGGTCTGCTCCGTGTAAACAGTGAGACGGGAGAGCTGAGACAGCCTTCCCATCTCAGCTGATACAGGAGTTCCACAGGTCAATAAAGAGAACCGGTTACCTCCAAATGCGATCACACAGGCTTGTTATCTCTTGTGTGATAACAATAAAGTTAAGTGAACAAAAAAAAGTGTAAAACAATAAAAAAATCAATAATAATAATGAAAAAGTAATGCATTAAAAAAAAAAAAAAAAAAAAAGTGATAAAAAGGTAAACATAGAATATTCAAACCAACCCCACTGCCCCCGCCATCTGCATGCTCATAAATTCACGTGTAGGGCATTGTATGTGTACCCAGAGTGCTGCCCCCATTCCACTGTGTGCCATATTGTGGCAGCACTCTCTAACACACACATTGCATATTAAAAGGGTGAGTTCACTTTGCCAAGTAATTTGGGAAAATGGAATTACCCGCTCAAATCTGGCCAACTCTACCCCTCTGCTATACTGACCTTTCGGCGAGCAGGCCTTCCCCTTCACCAGTACAGGTGCACTATCTGTACCCCATACTGCCATCCAGTGCTGTCCTGTGCCATGTATTCTGAATTTCGCACTGTTAAATACAGTTTTGGTTAAGTTTTTTTTTGTATCACGTACGTACTTGTTGTGAGAACAAATAGATTGTCATGAGGGACAAGTAGATTGGGCTCCCACTTTAGTCCTTGGACAAGCAGTTTTTTTTAAATGTCCAATACCCCTGATCTTAGAGGATTTCCAGGTAAACAGAATTATTAAAAACAAACTACACTGCAATCTGTGTACCAGGAACCAAATAAAACCACTTCTGGTGCCAGAAGTAGAAATATACTAACTTGTCACACAGTAGTGTGCTTCTTCATTCTTCTAAATAAGATATGGTTGCAGCCTCAGCAACGATATCCAGTGATTTAACACGAGAACCTGAATTATGTATATCTGATGATTAGGGATGCACAGAAATTTCAGCTGCCGAAACATATCTGGTGAAAATGGTACTTTGGGCAAAATGCTGAAAGTACTATCTTTCGGGCCGAAATTGCGGTGCATACCTAGATTCTCTCCTCCCCGTTGGGTGCTGCTGTGTCCCCTCTGACACAGAGCAGCATTCAGCAGGTAGGAGAGAAACCTGCGGAGGCCGAGCGGGGCAGGGTGGAGAGCGCTGTCATCAGCAGTTTTACAGGAGGCCGGGCTCTCCTCCCGCACAGCCCCGCTCTGCCTCCTGTGACAGATCAGGGTGGAGAGCAGTGTGGGGGAGGAGACAGCTGCGAGCTGTCACAGGAGGGTGAGCCTGTGTTGCGGGGGAGGAGTTAGCAACCAAAGGAGACCGAGCTCTCGGCCTGCACTGCCGGCTCAACCTCCTGCGAGTCAGGATGGAGAGCAGTTACCAGCAGTCAGCGATCTCGTAAATAATTGACATAGTATGTTTACTGTGTCCCCAATTATGAATGAACAGGAAGTGATCCACATAACTTTCTGTTCATTCATGATTTTGGACATAACAAACATACTATCTCCACAGGTAATGAACAGGAACACTCAGTATAGAGGATTCCTGTTCATGCATATCAGTGGCTGCAGAAAAGAGATTATGAACTCGGTGTCCTCAATCTCTTTTTCTATTTTAAAAGGGAAATATCAGGAGTCTGTTTAGACCCTTAATATTTACCCAGATCCCTTAAGAGTAAAGTTACAAAATAAAAAAAATAAAATATGTAATAAAAATTCAAAAAGTTAGAAAAGGTTTCAGCATGATAATTTTCGGTTACAACATTCAATTTCGGTTCACCTCTACTTACGATCATTCCCAGTGTTCTCCAAAGAGGAGTGCTATGGTTCATTCTCACAGTTGGTCTAAAGAAGCACTTGATAATAGAGAGTATAACTGTGCTATAATAAAGAGCGGAATTTATGTTTCATAAAACACCAAATTCCTACCTGTACATCTTGATTTTACTTTCTGAATTATCATCATTTGCTTCTTTGCAAATTTGATGAGGTCCTCTTTTGGCAGGGTGTCCAGCTGTAAAAAATGTAATCAAATAGCATCAGCATCAAATATTAACATAACAAGTTAGTATATAGATGCCACATAGATGACACATTTTGATGACAAATTTAACACATTTCACAGAGAAATCAGGTGAAAGCTAAGGCAACTAATATGGTTAAATCCCAATCATCTACCAACAGGTCAATCTCAAGCAAATCGAAAAGAATGTGTATGGCCAGCTTTATAAATAGAAAAGAACACCCTTGTGAAAGGAGAGAAGTTATAAAGTACCTATCTGAAGTCAATGGAGAAAAAAGTTTAAGTGGCCTTGTGTTTTAAATAGATGTTAGCTAACACATAATAGAAAAATGCTTTTTTTGTTGTAATACCAGCTATTGTAACTAACCCTAATCTTGAAAACGACAGAAAAATATGTCCTATCAGTCAAAAATATTACTATACAATTATGCCTTATACAAGGTAGATCTGTATACTGCTCCACTCTGCTTTCCTCACCCACAGTCATTAGAAAAACTTTGTCCTATACGTTTCCACACTTTAGGACTATAGAAAAACTCTATAAAAGTATAAGCTAGAGCTATTCAAGAACCTTGGATAAAGATATAGATCTAAACCATATTAAAGACAGCTTAACAATAACATAAAACAGTAAATACCGTATTTTGCGTTCCATAAGGCGCACCTGATCATAGGACGCAGGGAGGGTAGGGCTCCGAGACAGCTGTAGTCAGTGACAGCTGGGACAGGTGGCGCTGTGATTACAGTGACACGGTCTCCGTGATCAAACAGAGCCAGACGAAGAACGGACGTTCTTCGCCTGCTCTGGGGCTCTATGGTGAGCTCCTATGCCGTGGTCACGGGTGTCCCAGAGGAGCGGTGGACCCCGAAAACCGCGGCGGGGGCCTTTCAGGATCGCTGCTGCTCCTTCCATACAAGTGATCTAACCAGATCACTTGTATGAAAATGAGCGGCGGCTCCACACTATACATTCAGCTCTGCTTGCCAGGATCAGGGCTAAATGTACAAAAAAAACGACTCGCCCGGCGCCCGAAACTGCATGTCCTGGGCGAAAGAGATTCCCTCAGCTCTCACACATTCGCTCCATAAGACGCACTGACATTTTTGCCCGCCTTTTGGGGGAGAAAGTGCGTCCTATGGAGCGAAAAATATGGTAATCCTGGCAGCCATGATAATGCTTTGAGATAGGGAAGTGACTGCAAGGCAGACAGAGGTTCAAGTTTTAAACTGCTCTTTTACCTCATTAGATAATGCAAACTCCATAAGAACAATAGAGTCAGGAGAATTTAAGGCCAGATAAAATATTTTCAGAACAGCATGTAAAGCCATATGAGTAATAGAATGGAATGTGATTTGTCACAGACATCAGTTGACACAAATAATACAAATATTTTCTAAACAACTGAAATACCAGATTCTCTGGCTTAAAGGAGAACTATGAGGTGAGTAATTTATCCTCATACTTGGAGCCAACGTGTGACATTGAAATTGTCACACGTCGGCTCTATAGATCGGGAAGTGAGCGAACACATACTGTCGCTCGCTCACTTTCCAATCATCTCCCTGCAGAGAGCGGTGACTGTCAGTCACGGCTCCCCGCAGGGATTCCCCCCTCCCCTCTCCGATCCTTCAGCGCTGACTAGAGGAACGGACGGGGGGCGGGCACAGCTTGCTCTGCCTCTAGAAAGACAAAGCCAGCTGTCAAGCAGCCTGCTGGGTGGATCTCGACAATATTGTCGAGATCCTCCCGGCTGCGGTGCTCTTAGTATATAGCAAGCAATAGCCCGCTTTATACTGAACTTTGTGTCACGGGAGGAGGTCAGTTTATGTCCTCCCGTGACCCTAAAGAGAACTATGGGGAAAACACTTACTCCCATAGTTCACTTTTAAAATCTGACTGAAAAATAAACACTGAACACACTACAGTTCAGACAATATCTGTTGCAAGGTCACAAAACGTAAACACTTTGTAGCCTCTTGGAAAGCATAATATAAAATGGAACACATAGAAATAGATTTACCTTAGACTTGCTGGTGCCCGGGGTAGCTGGAGATGACACTCCATCCTGACCAGTATCCTAAGAAGCAATGAATTAGACACATTAACATTATATGAATTCAAATACAAACATTCACATATTAAAGTGGTGCTCCAGCCAAAATGAATTGCTAGTGCAACTGAAGCGGAAGACAAAACTTTTTTAATATGTAGTTTTGGATAGAGTGGAGAAGGATTAGAACACCTGTCAGGTTTTACTGGTGTTTGTCTCTCTGTTAATTAGAGTTATTCTCTCTATTTGTCCTGGTAACCGTTATCACTGAAAGTAAGAGAAAAACCTACATTTTGGGTTGTCAACAGAACAGAAAGAGATGGGAAATCTTCCAAAGGAGACAGTGGTTCTAGTGACCCTGCTGACCACCAAGATTTCCTGCTCTTTAGAGGGGTTTCTGTTCACTTCCTGTTGGACAGGAAGTGAAGAGAAATTCCCCCAATGGGACAGGGGTTATAACCCTCCCTTACTCTTAAAGGAGAACTATGAGGTGAGTGCTTATCACTCACCTCATAGTTCTAGCCGACCTGTGACAATGAGACTGTCACAGGTCGGCTCAGTAGATCGGGAGGTGAGGGAACACATACCGGGTTCGCTCACCTCTCGATCCTGTCACGGCTCTCTGCCGTGACAGGGGGAGGGGCTGGATTCCCCTCTCCCCGCTCCGATCTGCCAGCACTGACTGGCGGAACGGACGGGAGAGGGTACAGCTGCGTCTGCCTCTAGATAGGCAGAGCCAGCTGTCACTCACACAGCTGGGCGGATCCCGTCATCTATGTCGGGATCCGCTCCAGGTGCGGCATCTCAGTATACCGCGAGCTGTAGCTCGCGGTATACTGAGCTTAGGGTAACGGGAGGACGCTAGTTTGTGTCCTCCCGTTACCCTAAGGAGAACTATGGGGAAAAACACTGGACCCATAGTTCTCCTTTAAGGGTACTTCCTTCAAAACTAAAATAAATAAAAACAAAATAAAACGTTTGGGCTTCGTTCTACTTTAAATGAAATGGTCAGAACTTCCACCAGGTTTCTTTTATTGATTCCTGTCCCTTGAAAAGAGAGGAATCTCCTTAACCACTTCAGTGCTGCAATATGTATTTGAACGACAGCAACCTGAAACAGTTAAACCAAGATCACAGGTGCTTTGTATCATTTTTTTTACAACTGGCAATTCGCTGTTACATACAAAGCATTCAGATTGCTTGTAAGGTGCAGGGGAAGTGTGCCCCCACCTTTTATATTTGATAAAAAAATTGGGTAATATATTGTGTTTGTGTGCACTAAAATTAATTTTTATGAGGGGAATTTATGAAAACTGGAGTAGGCAAAGTCTGGAGCAGTTGTCCAGGGCAACCAATCAGCTTCTCTTTTCAGTCTGTTCAGTTGAGATTTGAAAATGAAAGAGAAGCTGATTGGTTGCCGTGCACAACTGCTCCAGTTTTGCTAAATCCCCCTCAGTGTATTTTAGCTAAAAAATATTAGTTTGGTAAACATTTGTGCAAACACCATGCTCCATAAAAATGGGCAAATAGATTTTTTTTAATTTGACAGGGCAGCTGCATTCAGAAAATATATAATTGTTTGGGTGTGTGTGTGGGGGGGGTAAAGGTGTATTCTAGCCAAAAACTCAGATTTTATCACCTGTGTGCAACATTTAGAAAATGCTCTGGACAGCGAGTGGTTAAAGATAGGGGAACTCCCAATGTTAAGCCAGGACAGGTATCACTACTCTGAGAATTCCTCACCTTCTGCTCCGTTGGCAACTGTCCTAGAACATAAAAAGGCTTTCACCTACACTTGAACTAGTATTATGATGATGTAATTAAAATATAAAACAACAACAGTGTCATCAGTTCAGTCAAGGTTTACCGATACAAAAAAAAACTGAATCCTTTTACAAAAGTTTGCACATTTGTTGTCAGTTCAGTTTACTTCAGAATATTTTTTGTTGTTATAGTATGGAAAATTCCCATGATTCTTTGCTTCCCCCAGTATGCATTGAGCTTGACTTGACATGCTGTATTACGACATCAGTCCCATAAAAACAGGTGTAACCTGAACTAATGTAAATTGATCATCAGTTCACATCAGATGACATCTGTCCTGTTCAGTCAAAACAAAGAGCTGATCCGTCTCAAATTGTAGACCGCAGCTGACACTGATGTTTCCTTGAAGTATACTGATGGTCATCAGTTATCATCTGCACTGCCATAGGGTCCTTTCACATGAGCGGTCCGATCAGGTCCGCATGTCAGTTTTTCAGCCGGACCCAAACGGACGCTCTATGCAAGTCTATGGGCAGCCAGGTTTAACCCTTTCGCTGCCAAGCCCTCCGGAACATTTTTCAAATCAGCTGGCCAAGCCATTTTTGAAAAAGCATTCGTTTACACGCGGTTAGCTCCAGCTCGGTCTGGTAAAACAGACATGTCCGTTTACAACAGATTCCCCATAGACTTGCATGGGGTCTGGCACTTTCAGTCTTCTGCATCGCAAGATGGAGGAAAAAAACCTGTATGAACTCGGAGGTCACATATGTGACATCCGATCCGTGCCGCTCTGATCAGAAGAGGATCTGTTCACGGATCCTCTCCTGATCAGCCCTTGTGAAAGGGGGCCATAGAGATGCACTGTTGTCCATTTTCTAACCTGACAACCTGAACGATCGTGTGAAAGGGGCCTTATACAGTACTGAAATCAAACAAAATGTCATATGATAGAGATTTACAAACCCACTGAGGGAAAACATTAAACAAATAGGACTAGGGGGGCGTGGCCTGGACATGGCGCCGAGCAGAAGCTA